AGGGAGAGAGAAGGAAACATTAATCAGCTGCCTCCTGTATGCCCCCTGCTGGAGATCGAGCTCAAAACCCAGGCATGTGCCCCAAACAGGGAATAGAACTGGCAACTTCCTGGTGCATGGGATGACACTCAACCTACCGAGCCAAACTGGCCGGGCTCAATACACCTATTTAAAAGAAACACTTGCTCAAGAAAATAAAAAGACAGGTCACAGACTGGGGGAAAATATTTGCATAAGACATATCTGATTGCTAACCAAAATACACAAATAACTCTTAGACCTCAACAATACGAAAACAAACAATCCAACTTAAAAAATGGTCCAATGGCCTTAACAGTTTCTTATAAAACTAAACATACTCTTAACACACTACCCAGCAATCTCACTAACTGGTATTAACCCAAAGGAGCTGAAAACTTACATCTACACGATAACTGCATATGGGTGTTCATAGCAGCTTTATTCATAACTGCCAAAACTTGAAAGTAACCAAGATGCTCTTCAGTAGATGAATAATTCAATAAGCAGTGGTACATCCAGACAATGAAATCCATCACTGAGAAGAAATGAGCTATCAAGCCATGAAAAGACATGGAGGAAATTTAAATGTGTATTGCTAAGTGAAAGAAGCCAATATGAAAAGGCTACATACTCCATGATTCCAACTATATGACCTTTAGGAAAAGGCAAAACTGTGGAGACAGTAAAAAGATCAATTGTTTCAGGAGCTAGAGGTGAGGGAGGGATAAACAGGCAGAGCATAGAGGATTTTTAGGGCAGTGAAACCTGTATGGTACTATAATGGTGGGTCATCATACATTTGTCCAAAGCCATAACACCAAGAGTGAGTCCTTAGGTAGACTATATGGACTTTGGGTGATAATAATTTGTCAGTGTAGGTTCATCAATTGTAACAAGATGCCACTCTTGTCAGAGGTGATGATAATGAGGGCAGCTATGCATTTGTGGGGGCAGGTGTATATGGGAAATCTCTGTATTTTTTTCTCAATATTGCTGTGAACCTAAAACTGCTCTAAAAAAAAAAGTCTACTAAGAAAAAACACAAATAAGACTAAAACAAACAAACAAAAAGATTAAGTAGAGGCACACACATATATGTAACTATGAAATCTACGAAGAAAGCCAAAAACAAACAACCCCTCTCCCCAAAGAAACCCAGTTGCTTTGTTGAAAACCCCACTGCAGGTTAATAAATGTTCCATTTCAATATACATTAAAAACATGAGTGACAAATGCTAACAGTCTATGATAAGAATAAGAGTCATAGAGTATAGATAAAAGCCAGGTGGGCAGGCCATTTAATTATATTGTAATATAAAAATGTTTAATATAAATTCAGTCACCACTGAAGCTTGCAAGTTTTATATATAATTTGGATGTATCTAGAATGGATGAAAACTTAAAAAGTTAAGATGATCTTATCAGTAGAAAAGATACTGTAAACCAGCTTAGCCAAAAGAAGCATTTTGATTGCCTAATTTAACTTTGTAAAGGAGAAGTAAATCTTATAGCTGGTCTCTGTAAACCTCACAGCTGGAACATTCTAACAGCACCTTGCAGTTTCCAGTGATCAAAGTAAGTTACTTTATATACTAAACTAAGAATTTCATAATAGAAATAATGCAACACCAGGGGGTATGGTTATCATGAAATAATTACACTCCTGGGAGATTACAGGCACAAGGCTATATACCCCAGGGGTGTGATTATCCCATGATAACCACATCCACTGAAATTGCCTTATTGCAAAAATAATCTCTATTCACTGGTGAGACATTTTTCAATAGGTGATTTTTTTAAATGAAAAGAGTTTTTAGCTTGAATCAGCAAGTGGATTAGGAAACTGGGCAGTTTGTTTTCCATTGCATTCAAATTCAGAATACAACATCATTATTATTTGCTTTCCTATTTGATATAGTAGAGATTTTGTTTTTGAGAATCCTTTAAGAGTTTCTATTAGTGCTAGTTAAGTGGTCCAGCTAAATTCAGGTCAAAATTTAAAGGCATTAATGGAGCAATACAATTCTAAATAATTTATTTCTATGTATAATTTTTAATTCTTCTAAAAGAATATTCCTTTAAAATGATAAATATACAACCACTATTAATATTTTGGGCTATCTCCTTCCAGGCATTTTTCTAAACGTATCTGTCTATATGTTTACCTAAAGATATAAAACTGCTGTGGCTCAGCAATTGAGCATCTATCTATGATCCAGGAGATCACGGTTTGACTCCTGGTCAGGGCACATGCCCGAATTGCGGGCTTCAGCCCCAGCACGGGGTGTGCAGGAGGAGGCAGCCGATCAATAACTCTCTCATCACTGATGTTTCTACCTCTCCTTCTCCCTTCCACTCTCTGAAATCAATAAAATATATATTTTTAAAAAGATATAAAAAGAAATATGAGTGGAATCCGTATAACTACTTTGTTTTATAAGCTGTTTTCCTTTGACCAAATGTTATAAACAACATCCATATTATTAAGCAGTCTTCGAATCATTTTTAATGGCTGCATAGTATAGTATTCCATTGGTAATAGCCCAGAATTACTCACTTAATATCTTTTCATTAAGTATTTATTTAGGTTCTCTCTCTTACTATATTTTGCAATAAAATCTTTGAAGATATCCACGATTATTCTTTTAGAATAAATTCATGACTGTGTAATATTAGTAAAACATAATTTAAATAAATAAACAAACAAAGGTACTATTTCCCAAATATTCAATTGTTCTTATATACAGCTGAAGCTGATGGCTCTCCACCTTGATGGTACATCAGAAATATGTGGTACATCATCTTATGTGGTATCATAGATGATAAAAGTTACTGACTTATTTTTATCATAATTTTATCAAAGAGTTCAGTGCTTTGAGATATTCTTAGATAAGGTATTTACCAGTACTTGTTTGCACACTTTCACTCTCCAGAGCGGATAAGCAGGTTGCTTAAAGTTACATGGCTACTAAGCGGCAGAGCAGGGGTTTCCAAATCAGGCATTTACTAGCTCCATCGCTCCACAGCCTGTGCTCTTAGCCACTAAGTACACTGCCTCTCTGAATTTATGGCTTCCTCTGGGTGGAAGGTTGCTTCTTCTGCCTAAGATGCCGAATGCTTTTCTGCCAGATCCTGCACAGCTGCATCTATCCTGTCATTTAGAGGTTGCAGTTTAACATCACTTCTTCAGAGGGGCCCTTCCTGACCACTTAATCAAAAGTTACTCCCCATTCAGTTCTTATCACAGTATCCAATTTAATTTTATCATAGAACTTATAAATACCTAGTATTTTCTTATTTATCAGTTTATTTTATGTCATTTCCAATACAGTGAAAGCAAGGACCTTTTCTGTCTTGATATTGCATTCCTACAGCCTAGAAAAATGCCTGGCACACAGTAAGTGCTCCATAAATAATTGCTGAATAGGTGAGTTTATTTTATCCTTACTGATGAACGTTTACGGTTGTTTCTAATATTTCACCTCTATAAAACTTTGGGCATCTACCTTATCATTTTCTTATTATAAATTCCTGGAAGTTGAATTTCTAGATAAAAGGATTTGCATGGTTTCAAGGCTTTTGATACATATCATCAAGTGACTTCTGAAAGGCTGCTCCAATTTATCAAGTGGATTAAAACATTAATTTTACCACACTTGCTCCAACACTGGGTGTACAGTTCTTTTAAATCTACCAAATTTGATGGGCAAAAAGATAATATATTTTTTATATATATCAACATTCTCTCACCACTGAGCAGTTTTCCCTTACTTAAAATGTGGCTTTTATCTTTTTTAGAGCAATAAGGACTTTTAAAAACTCAATTATAATATTTTATCTGTGTACTTCCTCTACCCATCTGACATCCATAACGCCATTAAAGAAACAGTGTCAAACCTGATACTGGATCTAATTTCTAAACTCCTAATACGAGAACTGGCATCTTGAATCCTAAAGCCTGCATTTGGCTTACTGGAAGGAAGCAGGATCTCTAGCTATAGAATAGAGGCTGAAGGTCATAAGCTGACTGAGGGAGAACCCTGGGCTCAGAGGTGGCAGTGGAAGCCACAGGGAGTATAAGGAGGTGTATCAGAGGCCTAGATGAGCTGAGGATGGGGCTTCATGCCCAGAGCTTTGCTTCAATAGAGCAGCTCTGTCTTTGTATGTTCTATATACTTGGTTTCACCTAAGGTATCTTTTTAAGAAAAAAAAAAAGAAAAAAAAGGTTTTAGAGCTACTTAAAAAATACTGAAAATCTCTTGAGTTATACTATCAAATCCTTATTTCAAAATGGAGTGTTGAAAAGTGAAATGACTTGTGTAACGTTATAGGGTTAAGCAGGTTATTTCTATTATAATTTATTGGGGGTTATGGTTGGATTAGTGTGGCTGTCTCAATAATATACTAACAAGGCACTGAAAAATTTAAGACTTCTCAGTTGTAATATTTTTTTATAAAAAGAACCCAAATAACACAAAAAGAATTAGACCAATCTTTCGTAAGTATGCAATAATATGCAGGAAGGTAAATAATTTTCAAGTAAAAACCAATTTTAACATAGTTAACATATTTTTAAACTCAGTTTTGATTTTATCTCTAAACTAAAAACAGGTGATTGCTGAGGCTTCTCGACCACTGTACTTTTACAATTCAGGAGGACATAAATATGAGAAATAACTATTTCTTCCTGCTATTTTGAGGTTACTAACCTAATAAACTATGTTTAATACGTCTTTCATAGGGGCCGTTGGCTAGAAACGTTAAATTTAATTCTTATATACTGCCTTTCAAAACATAGGATCAGAGTTTTCCACTGACCATCATATTTTAGGAATGTGCCTTAGTCCAAAAAACTCAACCCAACCAAAACAAAACAAAGCAATACCCAGAGAGATTAAAGAAAACTATTATTTTACTTTTCCTTATTTGTCCTCAATATACATTCTAAAACAAACACATAAATCATGTCTAGTGCCTACCTGAGCCATCAGTGGGAACTGAGCTTGCATTGATTCCAGAAAGACCAAACAAAGGACATTCTCGATCTGTGTTGACATGACCCCATTTGTGACATTTAATGCACCTCACATTTCGAACCTGAGAAATAGTGAACATTATTGTCGCTGTTAAAATAGTAAGAATGTAACCAATGTTCAACTCCCTATTCCTTGGTAGAGTTTAAGTTAAATTATTCTAATTTTTAAAAGATCTTGCAAGAAAGAGACTTCATAACTGTATTTTGTAATTTAATACAAATATTAAAATCTTTTACTACAAATTTTGCCTAAAAGCTAAGGTAAATTTTTTTGATTGATATTTTGTGGCAATGAAACAATGTCATCCAAAAAGAAATGGTAAAATTCCAAAAAATAATTGTGTCATGGCTTATTCTTAAATTCTCTAATTTAAAAAAGTTAATCTTTTAAAGTTTCAATTTCCTGCACCAGGGGTTGGCAAACTTTTTGTAAAGAGCCAGATAGTAAATATTTTAGGCTTTATGGGCCAGAGGTCTCTGTTGTAACTATTCAACTCTGCCATTGTAGCAGGAAAGCAGCCACAGACAATACGTAAATGAGTAAGCATGGCAACGTTCCAAAAAATGTTATTTATAACAAGGACTTGGCCCTTTGACGATAGCTTGTCCCAGTTTAAAACAAGTAGTTTTGCATCTTTTCTGGACCTTGAGCTAGTTCTCCAAATTCCTTGAAAACTGCAGAGACCGTTATCTTTATAACCCTTAATACACAACTTTAATTTCTATCTTTCATTAGTCTATTAAATTTAATGTTTTTCCCCCTAGTCCTTCTATTATCTGATACAGACAGACACCAAAGAGCCCCCTTTCAGCTTAAATACCTTTTGGGCAACGATATAAAGATTTATTAAGTAAAAATCATTCCTACAGAGTAAAATATGTGTTACTTGCCTGAATACCAAAGGGCTGATCTCGGATGTTCATGTCATCTTTGGCATATCTATTGAGGAGAGAAAAATGTATAAACACAATATTAAGAGTAATTTAATAAACAGTTATTTTGAAAAATAGTTTTATAGTTCTAAGTATATTACAAAATGCATAACTGTAATAAATATATAGAACTATAAAATCTATTCAGTATTTCCAAACACCATTTAGTTATTAAGTGTCCAGTCTAATGATCTGCAATTTAAAAAGTAAAAAAATAAAAAATACAGATTAGGCAAATTAATTGCATAAGACAAATCACTGAAAATACCTTTTCATATTAGATGCCTTCTTTAGTGAAAGAAAAGACAACACAAAATGGGATATCAGATAAGTTTAATGATAGATGCTTTATCTTAAAGGAAAACCAGTTCTTACTTTTCTCGTGGGGCTCCTTTCTGCCATTCAAATTTGTATTCGGTCTCTCCTTCTGTTTCTTCTTTCTAAAAACATTCATTAAAAAGTTTTTCAATTTCTTCATAAAATTACAACCTGTTGCAAGTAAATTCAAACATAGAAAATAGTACTTTACCTCTTTATTTTCTTGATTGCATATCAAAATATGGGGGGGAAAAGGTAGATCAAGTTAAAAACTTCGTAAGTCTATCATATACTATACTATGATATCATGATATTTAATTGTAATATGTAAGAATTTATCAGTTTGACATTTTTCTCCTTTCAGAAGATAAAATTCAAATCACTGAAGGATTAAATATGATATTAAATAAGAGATCATATTTAATAAGCATGTAATTCCTAATAGTTAAAACTTTTATACTTTTCAATGACAGTGAATATTATGCTTTGTATTTACAAGTACATTTAGTAAGAAGGACTAAAAATATATACATAAATTATAAAAGAATAAATGCACTTCTGCTGATGTTGAGATTTTTTCCTCTCCAAAGGACAAGTCATGAAATATAACTAGGTTAGACAAATATTTTTAGTATTTATTCTACTGATTCCAGCATTTTCAAAAATTATTTTTACAGCATAATAGCAATTTTAAAAGATAAAGAGGAACTTACAAAAAAGCCTGTCATAACAGTTCTCAAACTTTAGTTGCAAACAAATCAAAAACTTAAAAAAGAAATGAGATGAGTACCCTTTTTAGCTCCTGGTGGGGCCTCATACATGAAATTAAGGCCATTCTTTACCCGTTCATCTCCCATAAGCAATCTAAATAAAATAAGACGTAAGGTTAACAATTTTATGTAGGAGAAAAACATTACAGAATAACTGTCTCCCAACCTCTAAAAACCCTAAGGGAATTAAGATATTTTTTCAGAGATAAAGTTTCAAAACTTTACTCCACTCATTAGATGAAATCTGAAATATCTATGAGTCCACACTGACAGAAATAAATGACTAAATAAGTACCAAAATGAGAGAAAGAGAAAATTTTTCTTTCCAGAGGAATTCAAATTTAAAAATGTAGCAGGAGAGAATAGAAACGAAATAGAAAATCATCGTTAGAAAACCACAGTAATAATTGATGCAGGCAAGATCCACCAATGAGCGCTAAAACTAAGGGAAAAAGTTCTAGGAGAAACAGGATATTTGCATAGCTTCAAATATTTATTAATTACCAAGGGAAAAAAGTCTTCTTTAAAGATAAAGAGTAAACACACTATGATCTGCGGCAAACTTACTTTTCTACCTACACTATCTCTTAATGAGTCTAGCTCAATTTTTGACTGTTTCCTAGATACCCTCTCTACTTTCCCACCGTACTGATCTTTAATCAGCTTTTACTACATGTAAATCAGGGTTTCTCAGAGGTGGTGCTATAGACATTTTCGATTACATAACTCTTTGTTGTGTGGGGCTGTTGTAAGCTGCATTGTAAGCTGTTTTTTAGCATCCCTAGTCTCCACCTACTAGATGCTGGTAGCACTCAACCCGAGTTGAGACAATTAAAAATGTGTTCAAACACTGCCACAGGTCCCCTGGGGGCAATAATGGCTCTCAGTTGAGAACCACTCATCTAAATCCTTATCATTCTTTATAGTTCAGCTTAAATGTCACCACTTTCCTGAAGTCTTACCTTGTTATTCCAAATGGCATTACTGTGTCCTATATTAGCATGCTATAGTTTTTAAAGCATTGTGTTTTTAAAATCTCAGTTGTGATATACAGCCTTGAAAACTACATCTCTACATCCATCTGTCTATCTCCATCCTTTTACAGGTTTTTTTGAGGGTAGAAACTATGTTATCACATGTTTATAGGCACCTAAACCATTTGTTGTCTTGCATGAAGTAGATACTTAATAAAAGTTAACCAGATTAAATAAAAATAGTGAGAATGGTACTTAACTGAACTAAAAGCTTTATTTCTTTAATTTTGCTCTCAATATACTATATTTTAAAGAGAGTATTTAGTAGTAATAGTTTAGCATTACTTTGCTTAAGCTCTGTATTTTGATAAAAAACAGGACTGAGTAGAAGTGAGAGCATGGTCCATGTAACTAAAGCACCACTATTCGCCTGCTTGATTAACCAAGAGAAATCAGCTTTAGAGTCAGACTTGCTAATACAGATATAAAATGACAATAGCTAAAGGGCAGGTACTTTACTAGAACAAACCAACGAAGAACTCTAGCTAGGATCCTGCCATTAACAGAAAAATGACAAGCAGGTCAAGTAGAGACACTTTACCTCTTGAAGCTGTCCTGTGACTCTTTTCATTTCAGTGTATTTTAAAGAAATATTTTTGTGAGGTCTCAGTAGTTTGAGTGTAGACTTTTGTTCTTCTAACCTTTGTCTAAGTTGGGACTTGATCATAGGCTATATATAGAGTCACATCAATATATTTTATATGAATTATGGGTAAGTGGCCATCTACAAATGTAACAGTAAAGATAGTTCTCAGGGAATAGAATCATATCACTAAGACATTCAATTTAAAAAGGCAAATTTAATATAAGATTCAGTAAGGGATCATTCTTACGCAATTGACTGTTCTAAAATCACCAGCATAGCCCTGGCTGGGTGGCTCAGTTGGTTGGAGCGTTGCCCCTTACACCAAAAGGCTGTCGGTTCGATTCCTGGTCAGGGCACATACCTAGGTTGTGGGTTCAATCTCCAGTTGGGGCGTGTATGGGAAATTGAATGATGTTTCTCTCTCACATCAACATTTCTCTCCCCCCCATCCTCCCTCCCTCTCTCTTTAAAAATCAATAAAAACGTATCCTCAGGGAAGCATTTAAGAAAATAATAAAATAAAATAAAAATTAAATAAATAAATAAAATAAAATCACCAGCATAGTGGAATTTCTTACCTATTATCATATGATTCTTGTTCTTTAAGATATTGTTGCATTAATTCTTCTTGTTTCTTCTTATCATATGATATTTTTTGTTCTGCCATCCATACCTAAATAAAGTGAAAAATTTAAGTTAAATAGGAAGTTTGCTTTTTTTAATAATAAAATATGAAATGCTATATTGTACATAGCATTTCAATACAATATAGTAAACTATATTGTATATAGTTTACAACATAATCTGTTTTGGTCATAGTGACACCATCACAAAATAACAGCTGCAAGGTCTGATCTGTGCCTTTGTACAAGTCCTTAAGTCCAACCATTCAAAAGAGCTACTCTTTCAAGCAAAAATGTCAAACTTGAGAATCACTCTGAGCACTTGTGATTCAATAGCTTTTTGTACTTGGTCCCCGTGTTATTTCAGAGAGAACAACCATCTCTCTACATGTAATATGTCTAGGCTAGAAAACACACAGGGTACAACTAGTAGGGTTAAACAATGCCCATGGGTGCCAATGGGGGTCACCGACACACCAAGAGAGGAGAAATGGACGACAAGGAAGAGGAAAAAAAAGGAAATGAAACGAAAAGTAGTTGTAGAAAAAAGGGGAGAGACAAGAGAGGAAACAAAGAGATAAGAGAGAGGCGCATCAGATATCTTAAAGGCACCAACACTACAAGCTGAATGTGTCCCTATGTGAAATCCTCAAAACCACAAAAGCAGTGAAGGTAAAAAACCCTCACAACTTATGCAAGGGCATTTTTTAAAAATATGTCTTTATTGATTTCAGAGAGAGGAAAGGAGAGGGAAAGAGACAGAAACATCAATGATGAGAGAGTCATTGATTGGCTGCCTCCTGCATGCCCCTGACTGGGGATCAAGCCCATAACCGGGTATGTGCCCTGACCAGGAATCCAACCTTGATCTCCTGGATCCTAGGTTGATGCTCAACTGCTGAGCCACGCCCGGTTGGGCTATGCAAGGGTATTTAATCATGTTACTTCCAAGTCCAAAAGGTACCAATGCTCTCCTACCACCTTTAGAATAAAGGACAAAGTGTCTGACAACCATTCAACAAAAACAACAAGTCAAAACTTTTTCTCCAAACATGCTAAGTTTTAAGAAAGTAAATTCGAGAACAAAAACTTACATTGATAAAACTATAATTATCAACTGGGTGAAGGAAGATGAGTGTGGGGAGGAGGATGTGGGACAAGATTGCCATTATTCAATTTCAGAAACAAGAAAAAAGGTAGTTATTAGTATTTTAGTGGTGCTGAGATAGGAAGGTTCTATGGGGACACAGCTTGAGATGTGAACTAGAAAGATTAACATAGAGATAAAAGCAAAAATTGAAATGAAAAGAGAACCCTTCAAGGACAGAATATACCAGAAATTTTTGGTGTAAGTTCCTGAAAGTTTCTTCCACTGACTTCAAACTTACCAATGTAATGTTACAGTAGAAGAAAAACCTACACTTGGAATAGGCAGTAAAAGGCACATGTTTGGAATTTTCACTGTAGCTCAAAACACAAACAGTTGCAACAGAGAAATGCCTGGCAGAATAACATATTAATAACAGCCTAACGAGTAACATATTACTTCTAACATAATAACTACCATTTATTTGCTTTAGATTTCACAGTTATTTTACTTGTCTTAATTGCTTAAGAGCTTAAATACATACTGAGTATTCATTATGGACTGGAATAAAAAGTAATAAAGCATATTCCTGCAGAACCTGCAAACAGAAAATCATACTAACTTTTCTGTAATTTTAAGCTCTGCATAATAAAAAAGAAAATATGTGAATTATATGAATAAAGTTTGATATTTGGATAACAGAAATATGTACAAGATAACGAAATAGAACAAGATAGTGAAAACTTTAGGGAGCAGGAAGGAAGGCTGGCACATTATAATGGAATGCTTTACAGAAACTTTTGGTTTTAAAAAGTTATTTATTTTTTAAAATTAAGAAACTATATTCACAGGTAGACAATGTTATCCATTTCTTGTATATCTATGTCCTTCCAAAGATGTTCTAATGCACAAATACATAAAAGAATACACAGGGTGGGGCAAAGTAGGTTTACAGTTGTGAGTATGCAAAACAAAGAGTTTATTCTTGCATTATTAATTGTATTATTTTCCATACAAAGAACTGTAAAACTACTTTTGCCTCATCCTGTGTATATAAAACAAACATACATACATAGTCTTTTTTTAAATCCTCACCTGAAGATATGTTTATTGGTTTAAGAAACAGGTGAAGAGAGAGAGAAAGAGAGGGAGAAACATCAATGTGAGAGAGAAACATTGATTGGTTGTTTCCCAAATACACGCCAACCAGGGATTGAACCCACAACCTAGGCATGTACCCTGACTGGGAATTGAACCCACAACCTTTCAGTGTACAGGACAATGCTCAACCAACTGAGAACACCAGCTAGGGCCACACATATTCTTTTCATAAATGGTAACATATACTGTGTACACACACATTCATATACATACAGAGAATATGTATAAAATAAAATTCTCTATCACGGAGATCATTCCAAGATCAGTAAACAAAGAGCCTTCTTGTATTTTGGCAGGGGGGCAGAGAGCTGATTATCATTCTATTGTGGGGCTATAACATCATTTATTTAACCAATCTCTTGCTGTACTAATGGGCATTTAAGAAATTTCCAATCTTTTGCTATTAAAAACTGTGTTCCAATAAACAACCCTGTGCACAAGTAACTTCATACATGTTAAACAGGATCAAAATTTTACCAAGGAAAAAACAGGGTAAGATATTACTGACAGAGACAGCAACTCAGACAAAGGCCCAAAGATGTAAAACCGGAATTAAGTAGTCTGATATTACTGTAATATAAAATCTGAGGTGGGAGAATGGCAATAGGGGGTGAAGAAGGAAAAATAAACTGGAGGCAGATTACTTGGACTTAATTATGTAGCATTTTAATAAGGAGTGGGGCGAGATCAGACTTTTGCTTTAAAAAGAGAAACAACAAAAAAAAAAAAAAAGAGAAACAACCCAAACATTTATTGATTGATGAGTGGACAAATAAAATGTGCTATATCCACACAATCAAATATTCAGGAATAAAAAGGAATGCAATACTAATACATTCTACAACATGGATAAACTTTGAAAACATGCTAAATGAAAAAAGCCAGTATTTCGCAAAAGACCACATATTTCATATTTACATGAGATGTCCAGAATAGGCAAGTCCACAGAAACAGAAAGCAGATTAGTGGTTGCCTACAGCTGGAAAGGAGGCAAGGTTAAGGAGAAATGGAGAGAAACTGCTAACAGATATGAGTTTTGTGGGGGAGGGTGACAGAAATATTTAAAAATTGTTTGTGGTAATGATTGCATAAATTCATAATTAAGGACCCCTGAACTGTGTGCATTGAATGGGTGACTTTATGGTATGTAAATTATATCTCAGTAAAAGCTGCAAAATAAAATAGTTATTCTGACAACTAGGAAGAGAACAGATTTGAAAGGGGTCAAGACTGGAGGCAGAAAAACCAGTTAGGAAACATAAAAGTCCAGGTGAGAGATAATGAGGGTCTAAGCTAAGATACAGGCAGTAGTGACAAAGAGGAGAGAGATTAGAAAGATATTTGGTAGGTAAGACCAATAAATTTTACTTGCTGACTAGATAAAGGGGTGTTGGGAAAGGGATGAATCTTGAATCTCTGGCATTGGTGACTGCGTGAAGGGTTGTGTTACTACCTTTATTTCCTACTCATATGATATAGGAAGTATAAAAAGAAGAGCAAATTTTGGATGAAAGATAAATTCTATTTCAGATATGTCGAGTTTGAGATGCCTATAGGATCTCAAGATGAAATTGTGAAGTATATAGTTGTTTTGAGGTGCCTTGAGCTAGGGGGAGAGACCTGGGCTGTTGATTTGAGGGTCATGAGTGAAGCGAGGGTAGTTAAAACTATGAAACTGGATGTGATTGCTTGGATGTGATTGCTTGGGAAAGCATACGGAGTAAGCAAGGCATAGGCCAAGAATGAAACTCTAGGTAACACATGTATTTTGGGAGCAGGCTAAGAATAAGTTTGTGTGTAGGGGCAATTAACATTTTACTGAGCTCCCTCTATGTGGTGGGCACAGTGCTCCGTGGTACTTTGTTTCAAAGCCTTTATCTAAAGTTTAGAATTATTCTAAACCATTTTATTTAATCCTCATAACAATTTCACAAGTCAAGGCAATTGATATGATCATTCTGAATTTATAGATTAGGAGACTGGGATGAGGGAAGTATTTTGTGCAAGGTGTCAGGGCTAAAAGTGACTGTGCTGTAATAACTAGAATCTAGGTCTGATTCCAATGCTCAGCCTCTTCCTACTTCACTTCTGCTTTCCACTGCTGGATTACCGAGCACGGTTTTTCCTTACTGCACCTAGTAGACACGGTCAAGCCAAAACGGAACGAGGTCCTCAGAGAGATGCTACATTATCGGGTAGGATAAAAAGAGGACGCAAGGGGGTGGCTTTATTTCTGTTTTAAGATCTACCTTAAATAAATAGGAAGGTTTCTTTGTAGAGAATAGCGGCACTCCGAAGCCGTGATCCCTGGGATTCGATCTTACGGATTTACATCCTCGCTGACAGAGCAGACCTGGGCCGCCTAAACGTCGCGGGCCATCTTTGTCAGAGTTCCCCAGAGGGGAAGAACGGGCGAGAACACCAGGGCTTTAGGCCTGGAGAATAGGCGACTGTCCCAAGGATTTCAGAGACACCACCACTCTCATTTCCAGCACCCTGCGGGAACCCAGTGAACGGGCCAGCACCCTCCCCGGCTCTCCTTACTCACTTTTTTGATATTGGATTTGGAGGCGGGATGAAAGTCCTTCTTGCACATGAAATTGGCGAAGGATTTCCCCATCTTGGAGGATGAGTTGGAGAACGCAGCCGCTAGATCTGAGAGCAACCTCGTAAACAAACTCTGCCGCCTAACCGGAAGTGCGCCTCCTGTGGCGGTGGGGACTTCCGGGGTCAAAGGTGACAGCTTCCGGCCTCTGCAGAACCACAGTTCGCCCCTTTCCCTGTTCAGTTTGGGTTGCGCGGAGGCCGGGTGAGGGGCGTGCACAGGGGAGGGCCGTGCGCAGTCGAGGTAGGAAGTAGGCAGACGGCGGGGGCTGCGGGTCGCTGCTGCGCCCGCTGCAGTTTCAACGCCCCCAGTGGGGTGGGAGTGCGGCTGGGCAGCGGCTCTTACGCTAGAGGTGTTTGAAGTTCAAATCCTTTACCCTGTGAACTCGGACTCGAGTTACCTAAACTTTTCTGCACCGATTTTCTCATCTGTGTTATGAAAGTAATAATTCTCTCAATATGTAGCACGCTCGTGAGGATGTTTCTGAAAGCAGTTGCTGACTAAAGCATATAAAATAGAACGTTAACTCTACAGGAGCGAGGACTGTCTTTGTTACCAGTTGTGCGGTGCCTAGTGCAGAAAGATGTTCAATAGACATTTGTTGAATGATAAAATACACACTGGGTGTTGGTAAGGCTCTCAGGGCCTTTCCTCCGAAATGGGCTAGGTGCTTTCCTAACTAGGCTGCGTGCTTCCTTAGCTTCCCGTACAACCCATTGGAGAGCTCATCTCCTAGTGCAGCTTGATGGCCCTGGGACTACAGGGTTTTGAGGGGACATGACTGTTATAGGGGATCCACCAGCCAACTTCTTTTGCGGTTGTGGGTGTGATGCCTTTTGTGAGAAATTTACTCGTCTGCCAAATGATGATAACAGCTTTTATTTAAGTGTCTTCTGCGTTATATGCACTGTGCAAAACACCTTACACAATGTCTTACTAAATTCTCATAACAGCTCTATGAGATATTTACCAATGAGTCAGGAGGCTAGAGATTAAATAAGCTGCTTTGGAACACAAATAGAAGGAGATCCAAGAAATAAAGGTTGAAATACATACCAAAAAGAACAGAAGCAATTGTGACCACTCTCTTTCCATCACTGAGGAAAAGAGAAAAACTCAGGAGTTTCAGGTTGAAGTTGTTTCATATTTGAATAATTTAATTTTCTTTTTAATGAAACATTAGACTTAAATTTTGTTTTAAAAATGTTTGCATAAAGCCATTTTAAGGTTTGGGTATTATACAATAAAGGAAAGAAGGAAAATATAAAACAATGTGTTCATTTTGGAAGCAAAGTAAAAACTATGAGACGCTTAAGTGTTCTACTAAAATTTAGGATTTAAGATTTTTCTGAATTACAAATGAAGACATAATCTTGATTTTAAATTCCGCAATGGGGGTTTACAAGTTATGGGCGTGAACTTCATCCCGGAAATATAAACAATTTGAAATTTTGTGGACATCTTTTTGTATTTGTCTGATTCAGTGGGTATGTTTCAAAATATCAGCCTTATCAATATAATCTGTGTGTATCCTTCTCCAGCTCAAAGGAGACCCCTTCCTCCTTTCTTTGAAGAAATAGTCTGTACACAATACTGAGACTTTTCAATAAGTTCTCGTGATGAGAATACAAAGATTAATAAGACGTACTCTCAGCCCTCAAGGATCTCATAGTCCAGTAAGGAAACTCATATATGTACATAAATATAGTAAAATATGGACTTTACAACAGTAGGACTAGGTATAGGGATTCTCAAATAAATAGTCAAAGGTGACTCATGGAAGACTTCAGGAGAAAAAGATCTTAGAGGGTAAATTTGACAGATTAGAAGAAAGTACTTGTCATTGCCATTTTTTTACTGATTCTTCTACTACAAGATTCATTCCTAAGTCATTTTCTTACGGGTTTTTGTACTACAGTACATGAAGTTTAAAACTTCAACAAACAGCTTTTATTAGATACGGCAATAATATCTCTTGGTGATTAAGTAAGTCTTTTTGTTTTATATATACTTAAAATGCTTTTTTTTTTATTTTGAATATTCTATATGATTTTCAGTTTAAAAATATGGAACCTTGTTCCTGTGACACTTTCGTGGCATTACCTCCAGCAGCAATTGAAAATAGGATTATTTTTGGAAAAAATTCAGATAGACTCTGTGATGAAGTACAAGAGGTAGTTTATTTTCCTGCTGCAGTTCACGATAACCTGAGAGGACATCTTAAGGTAGGTGAACTACATATTTTGTTAGCAATGTGTTTCTTTAAAATACCATAAACAGTTGTTTCTGTCATTAGCTAGCTATTTGGCAGGTACTATAGAAGTTAAAAATTCAAGAATTTAAATTTGAAAAAGAATTTGAATCAAAAGTAGACTTGCTGATCTTTTGTGATATGGAGGAAGCTGAAATAACAATAATATTAATTGTTAATTCTTTGATCAAGTGTTTCAATGCTTGCTATATGTGAGCTGTTAAATAGGTCAGGGATTTAAAACCTGCTGTCAAGCTTAGAATTAGTAGAAGAATCGGGTGCATATACAGCTAACCCCACTATAAAGTGTGATGGTCTAAAAGTGAAATTTAAGAGCAGCAAGCTGTGACAGCAATGGAGAAGGAACAATTAATTCAGACTAGGGATGAAGGAAGGCTTCTCCAGGAGTTGGGGTTTCAGCTGGAGTTTCAGCTGGAATTTGATGGACAAAAAGGATTCTGATTGGTGTAGAGTAGGAAAAATCATTCCAGATTCCGGAATAACAGTTTTATTATCTGGGAATAAAATTTTTATTGAGACCAGTGATAACATTATCAACATGAATTTTATGTAGTCATTTGGTAGAATACACATTAATTGATTCTTTAAAATTTTGTATTAAAAATCCATTTAGCATAGAACTTAAAGTTTTACATTGTGCTTAAATTGCTAACATATTTTTTATATTTCATTGATATTCTAAATACTAAAATATTTTAAATGCTACATGTATTCTGTACACTAGGCCAGTTTTTTGTTTGCTGTTACTATTTAATCATCTTGGGTTCATTTCCACTCTTGTCTCTTTAGAATGTAAACTGGTGGTTCCCATTCTTTTCACTGCTGCAGATGGATGGGCTTCTATGGCAATACCCTGTGTATAAGGACTACCATATAGGAATTATATCCCTAACCAAGAAATACTAGAATTAAGATTGAGAACTGCTTCCTTAAGCTTCAACTCACATATATCTTCCTTTACAAAATGTATTAAGTTTTCACAATTAGAAACCATCTCTCTCCTGTGCTTCTGTTAGCCCCTCATCTTCATTTTCCTTCATGGCCCCCTATATGTTGTTGTGTCTTAGTTACTGTAGAAATCTTAGTTTCTTGAAAGCGAGATTTGTACCTGATTCATCTCTTAGCAGAGTGCTTTATAATAGGAGATGCTCAGCAAATATTTGAATGAATAAATGCTTCAGGGTCACTTCTGAATATGTTTATGGGTAATGCCTTTATTATTGAAAAATTTGACTTAGTTATACTTCATTTATCTCTTTCATAATGGTCATGTTTTCTGATTGATTTTTAAGATTCTGGACTTGGACAACTTTTATTTTTTGGTTTTATGGTTGTTAATATGACTTTCTTTACAGTGTACTTACATAGAAATTGATCAAGTTCCTGAAACTTATGCTGTTGTTCTCAGTCGCCCAGCTTGGTTATGGGGAGCAGAAATGGGAGCCAATGAACATGGAGTTTGTATTGGGAATGAAGCTGTTTGGGGAAGAGAAGAAGTTTGTGATGAAGAGGCGCTACTGGGCATGGACCTTGTCAGGTTATTTTTCTGTTTTATTTTTTTTGCACTATAGAACTTGTCTAAGTTTTAAATTTTGGTGTAACTCTTACATATTTTATTTTTATTTTTTATTTTTTTGGACTTTGATACTTTATAGTATGTGTCAAAAATGCTTTAAAGTACTGGCATGCAGTGTAAAGACTCTCAAATATCATTAATTGGGAAAGGCTAAGAGTTGATAATCATGATTCATTGGCAGTACCTAACATATTTTATCAGACCATAACTAATTCTTACAGTAACCTCATGGGTATATGTTATTATCCTCATTTTACAGATGAGATTCCTGAGGGTCAGAGGTAAAGTAACTTGCCAATAAATTACGAAGTTGGAATTCGAACATTGATCTATTTCACTCCAAAATCTTTGTTTTTAATTCCAAACTGACTTCGGGAGGAATAGTTTCAAAGTTGGATTTCAGTTTATCTGTTAACTTGAAGGAATTTTTACTTTAAATATAAATACAAAATCTCATGTACATGAAATTATTTAAGCAAAATAATGGAAATTTATTTTAATCTGAGAACTATATTATTTTTATTTTAGACTTGGCCTTGAAAGAGCTGATACAGCTGAAAAAGCCCTCGATGTCATTGTTGATTTATTAGAGAAATATGGCCAGGGTGGAAATTGTTCTGAGGGTGGTATGGCATTTAGCTATCACAACAGTTTCCTGATAGCTGATAGGAATGAAGCCTGGATTCTGGAAACAGCAGGGAAGTACTGGGCAGCAGAAAAAGTACAAGGTATGGACAACTTTTCATCATTTGTTTTATATTAATAAATACTCCCTTGATTGCAGACATTGCATTTAATAGTCTTTCAAGATTTATAATTCATTGCAATAAAGGGTTTAACTACAGGGGAAATGAAAAGACTTTAAAGTACAATGGACGAGCACTATAGAGGGCTTTCTTGAAGAGGAGAAAAAGGCAGTGTTATCTCTTTTTCATGTATGTAATGTAAATTTTAAATAATGTGTATATATTTTCTATACAGTAGCTCTTGGCTGTTTTATAGTGCTTTTCCACTTTTTAATAACCCCATACCATTTCTTTCTCCTTTAACTTTGGGCTGAACTCCAAAATTTCATCATTATGGGTAAGGTAGTGAAAAAGGAGAGTGGGGAAGGGGTGGGGATGGATGTCTGTGGGTTAGTGGCTGGAAAGAATATGTTGATACAATAGTAAAGCATTAAAAAATTGGTATTATGGTAAAATAACACAATTGTTTTAGAATGCCTTGCTTTGTTTTCCATAGTTTCTTTGTGATCATTTATTCCTCTCATTTTTCAAGTGAGAAAATCCAGGTATGTGAAGTGAATTACTCAAGGCAGTGACTGAAAGACTTGGAATTTAAATCTTTCCATCCTGACTCTAAACAATGTTCTTTCATTAGAGTACAGACAGTCTTGTGCTCAAGCATGATCACATGCTTCTTGTGTACTTACCTCCTGGATCTCATGGTTTTACAAGGGAGATAAGGTACACATGTGAAAATATTAAATGGTGCATGAATGATATAGACACATAGGTGTTGTAAACATTTAGAAAAAGTAAAAGTCATTGTGAGCCAGAGGAGTTCAAAAAGGCTTCATGAAGGTAGCCTTGAGCTTTGGAGGATTTGGATGTTATTTGTCACAAAAGGTTGTTGTCCTAATGAACGTTTTATATTTTGCATGTATGTTTACTATACAACAGTAAAAAAAAAGTACATATAATTGAATTTAGACTGTTTTTCTTATTGTGATAATTAGTCTGATTGTACCATTAAACACTTTTTATTTTATTAAATATGCCACTCTCAAGAGAAAAATGAATAAATGTATTCTTTTGAAAAAGATAGGCCCAGCTAGCCATCCAATGTGAACACAATCATAGAGTCTAATTATCCAGCTGTAGATTAATTTTGCCAACTGGTTTCTCTTCTTTACTAAATGATCCCAAGAACTAAAGAGTTAAACTGTAGGGAATTAACTATAGATGGAAGATTCCTCTCTTCTGTGTTTGTTGTATCATGACTTGTCTAGTTTTTGTCGTAAGAATACCTCAAGTGTGACTGCATTAATTGATTTCTACTTGGCAGACTGTCATTCTAAACCTATCTTAAAACATTATCAATTTTCATTTATCATGATATATTTAATTTATTATGATATCTTTAGCACAGGCTTTTATTGTTTCTTCTATTTTATAGTTTAGTTGAACATTTTGTTTGTAACTTAGTGCCATGATATTTTTGAAGGCCTTATATTTCTGTTCTAAACTTATTTATGACTATTTTAAAAAACTAATTCATACAAAAGACTAATATCTGAAATATATAAAGAATTCCCAAAACCCAACAGTAAAAGACCAACCCAGTTAAAAAAATGGGCAAAAGACCTAAAGAGACATTTCATCTAAAGGGATATTCAGATGTCAAAAAAGTACATGAAATGATGTTCAACATCATTAACCATTAGGAAAAGGCAAACTAAATCACAATGAGGTATCACTATACCTCTATCAGAATGGCTGGAATTAAAAATGACACCACCAAATGCTAGTGAGAATGTGGAGACTGGATCTCTAATACATTGCTAGTAAGAACGTACAGGTGCTCTGCATAACAATTTGGCAGTTTTTAAAAAAAATCTAAACATGAAACTACCATAAAACCTAGCAATTGCAGTATTGTGCATTTGTCCCAGAGAAGTAAAAACTTATATTCACACAAGAACCTGTACATGAATATTTATAGCAGCTTTTCCCATGACAGCCCAAAACAGATGTCCTTTAACTTGTGAATGGCTAAACAAACTGACATACATACATACTATAGAATACTACTCAGCAATAAGAAGGAATGAACTGTTGATACATGTAATAACCTGAATGAATCTTTAGAGAATTATACTGAATGAAAAAAGCCAAAAGGTTATATACCAGATGATTCTATTTATATAACATTCTTAAATGACAGTTGTAGAAATGGATAACAGATTAGTGGTTGCCTGGGGTTAACGAGGGGCTAGGGGTGGGAGACAAGTGTGGCCATAAAAGGGCAACTTGAGTGATCCCTTTGGTGATGAAATATTCTATATCTTGATAATATTAATACCAGTATTTTGGTTGTGATATTATACAAGATGTTACCAGTGAGGGGAACTGGGTAAAGTATACACAGGATCTGTCTATTACTTCTTACAACTGCATGTGAATCTATATTGCAAAATAAAAAGTGTAATTTAAAAAGTAATTTATCTTTTTGAATATATAGTAAATGCATATGGTGCAAAATTTAGAAGTCTGTATCTACATTTAAATAGTGATTAAGAATCATAAAGTACAGATAGCTACACTATGTTAAATATCACTTTTCTTCTCCCTTCACCTCTTCTTCTTTGAAAATAGAGGGAGTTCGTAATATTTCTAATCAGCTTTCTATAACGACCAAGATTGATCGGGAGCACCCAGACATGAGAAACTATGCTAAGCAGAAAGGTTGGTGGGATGGTAAAAAGGAGTTTGATTTTGCGGCAACATACTCTTACATTGACACAACCAAGATGACGATTTCACCAGGCAGATACTGTGAAGGCCACAAACTTCTGAATAAACACAAAGGTAATTTTATCATTTAAATTATATCAAAATGAAAAGTTACATTTTGTGTAGATATAATATGGGTATGATAAAATATGTTTTTGAGGAATTATTCTTAGTAAAGATGTAGTTTTTTAAAGATTTTTTAAATTGTTTTTTAGAGAGAGAGGAAGGGAGAGGGAGAGAGAGAGAGAGAAACATCCATGTGAGAGCAAAACATCAATCAGTTGCCTCCTGCACACCCCCTACCAGGGATCTAGTCCCCAGCCCAGGCATGTGCCTGACTGGGAATCGAACCTGCAACCTTTCGGTGCCTGGGATGACACCCAACCAAATGAGGGACACCAGCCAGGGCAGAAGTAACTCTTGATTTAGCAATTTAATTGTTTGTACTCAACCTGCAAACTTTGTACCCTGGTCAGCAGCTCAAATTTCAGTTCAGTTCTTTTGTCTTTAGCTGATGTGCCCAACACAAATCAGATGGAGATTTGGGCAGAGTTTTCTACACAGAATTCTTTAACTCTCACCTTTATGGTATTCCCCCTTCACCTCTTATGCCTGTGGTTGGCCTCTAATTCTTCAGGCCAGAAAGACTAAGTGTTTTACAGCTACCTGCCCAGCATTGCGCAGCATTGGGCTTCCCACAGGCTAACACTGTAACAGAAAAAGAAACTTTCCCTGTGCATTTTCCCATCTTCCAAATGTCACCTCCTGTCTAGAATTTTTCTGCTTTTGTTTTCTCTGAAGAGACTTCAGGTAGTTGTTTTCTGCATTTCATTCTGAGTTTATAGTCATTTGAGGGAGGATTGTTCTGAGAGGAGCTTACTCAACCAAATTAAAGCAGAACTCTTTCCCATGTCATTTAATATTCTATGACATCATTTTACTTGTAAAAATATATTCACATGATTCAAAATTTAGAGGTACGTAAGAGTACACAATGAAGTCTCTCCTACCTACCCTGTCCCTAGATACTCAGTTCTTTTCCTCAGAGGCAGTTCCATAGTATTCTTCCAGAGATGAGGTACTCTTAATGAAACAAATACATATGTCTATTCTTTTCCTTCTCAATTTTTTTACACAGTAGCATGCTGTACACGTCTATGCACATAACTTTTCTTTAGCAATATATAATGTAGATTACTGTATTTTAATACAGAACTTTCTTAGTTTTTAGACAGATGAATAGTGTTGTATTATTTTGATATCTTATCTCCATATGGTTGTATTTTAACCATTATTGTAAAGATTGATTTTATAAACCATACTTTAGTTAACAGAGTTCCTGTTGTTTAGGTTGTTTTTAGTTTTTCATTATTGAAATTTATAGCTTACATATAATGCCTCACATCCATGATTATTATCCTAGAATAAGATTCTAGAAATAGAATGTGGGGTCAGAGCTTACGCATGCATGTTTTAAGGCTTTCAAAACACATTGCCAGAATGACCACCAGAAAAGTTCCATCAATTTAAATTTCCACCAGCAATATTTAAGTGTTCATTTTATAATATACTTATCAATATGGAATATTATTTTTGTTTAACCTTGATAATTTTGTAGAAAGAAATGGCATGCTTTTGTTTAAAAATATATTTCTCTTTTTAGCAAGATTAGACATTTTTGTACTTACTGAAACTTTGTAATTTTTAAATAAATTGCCTGTTTATTAATATATATTTTCCCATTTTTATATTCAGTTACTAACTCTTAAAAATAATTTATATGTGGGTGGGTGGATGGGGAGAGATTAACCTAAGAATTTATATGCATATATGCATAACCCATGGACACCGACAATAGTGTGGTGAAGGCCTGGG